AAAATTTTTTAAAGGACATTTTCAATAACTAATAGCCCTTATGCACCGAAAAATGTATTTATCTTTAAGTCATTTTAAAATATTCGCACGTCGGACAGAAAACTAAAAAGGCTGTTTTACTAAATTTCGCTCATCGCTTCACGAATATATTGATTTTTGTGTATGTAAATTTACTGTTTTTATACCTTTCATGAGCATGAAATGGTATTATAACTTTGGTCCTATGTTTGTAAGTACCAGAACAAAAGGAGATAGACCCATTAAAATGTATACTTTTATGATCAGAACGTCGAGCTGAGTTGATTTATCCATGTCCGTCTGTCCGTCTGTCCGTCTGTCTGTCTGTCCGTCTGTTTGTATGCAATCTAGTCTCTCCGGATCAAATTTCGTAGGTGGGTGTATTTTTATAATGTATTAATCATTTGTCGGAACCGGAAGAATCGGACCACTATAACATATAGCTCCCATACAACTGATTGTTCAGATATGAGATTTTTCGTTATAACTTCTCCATTTATGCAGCTACGAACATGAAATTTTGCAGCCCTTGCACCCATTATCAACAGAATGCTTACAGTGAAAATTACAAATATCGGGTCACTATAACCTATAGCTCCCATACAACTGATTGTTCAGATATAAAATTTTTCGTTATAACTCTTCCATTTATATAGCTGGGAACAGTAAATTCCGCACAGTTTTCAATAATTATCAACAGAAAACTTACAGTGAAAATTAAAAAGATCGGATAACTATAACCTATAGCTCCCATACAACTGATTGTTCAGATATGAGATTTTTCGTTATAATTCATCCATTTATGTAGCTAGGACCATGAAATTTCGCGCTGTTTTCACTCATTATCAGCAGAAGACTTACAGAGAAAATAACGAAGATCGGGTCACTATAACCTGCAGCCCCCATACAACTGATTGTTCAGATATGAGGTCTTTTATCATATCTCCTCCATTTATGCAGCTAGGAACATGAAATTTCGCGCCATTTTCACTCATTATTAACTTAACAATATTAACAATACTTACAGTGAAAATAACAAGGATCGGGTGACTACAACATATATCTTCCATACATCTGATTGTTCAGATATGGGATTTTACTGTAAAACTCCTTTATTTGAACAGCTAAAACCGATAAATTTCGTAAGATATTTTATAAATAATAATACAAAGTCTACTGAGAAAATCGTCAAATTCTATGCTGTATAAGCTTTATCTCCTATAGCACTGATTGTTCAGATACCAGTTTTTACGATATATCGCCTTTATGTAGGAAACTAAACCCAATAAATTGTGTTACCGGTTTACATACCGATCACATAGCAGTGAAAATCACTTAGATTGGTGCCATATAAAGTATATCCTCCATACCTCTGATTGTTTAGAGGCGATTTTTTATATAAGTATGTAACTCCTCTATCGATGTATTCAAAATCAGTAATCTGTCAAACTAAAATTTGCAGATGTTCATGAAAGGTATGAAGCCTTCGGCATAGCCGAAGACAGCGCTGCTCTTACTTGTTTTTTACTAACAACGAAATTTTCATATTGCACCAAAAGAAAAAAAATAGTTGTTTTATTTGACACAGTCTAGTGTACATACACACATATATAAATATTTATCTACTTATGCTCAACAGCATATTCTGAAGTTAAGGCTAACCATTAGCAATTATGGTTTTATTTGATTGCCTCTTCTGGTTTTTCTATGACCGCTTTCGACAATCACATTCAAATCAAGTAGACTTATACAAGCACACAAAAATCAAAAACGCATATTTCAATAATAGGTACATCACGCTGATGATATCAGAAACTTTCTGCATTTGCAATTTTCTTCTTGCTCTGTTTTATGAGTTAATTCACTGTGACGAGCAAATTTAGTGCAGTTACTACTTTTACATACTTCGCTTTTATACTCGTATTTACACACGTACATGTGTACGTATGTATAAATATTCAATATTATTTTTTTTATTTTTCTCTCCCTCACAGATATTATGCGATTGTAAAAC